TATATATATACGTGTGGATGGAAGGACATTGTCTTCCTTGGAAGGTTGGTCATCTGTAGAAAACTGTCGAGAGAGAGCATCAGGTTTGATATTTGTTGTTCCAGGTCCATATGTGATTGTAAAATTGAATCGAGTGAAAAACAATTACCATCTTGCTTGCCGAGGGTTCAACTTCGTAGCTTACTGTAGGTAAGAAAGATTTTCATGTCAGTCCAAATGATAAATGGTACCTTAGTTCCTTAAAAGCCAGTGTCGCCACTCCTCTAAGGTGAGTTTAATGGCCAATAACTCCCGGTTGCCAACATTGTAGTTTCATTTAGAGGATGTTGAATGGCGAGAGAAGTAGGCGCAGGGGTGAGTCTTGTTATCAGACTGGGGTCTTTGAGACAAGACTGCCCCAACCCCGGTGTCTGAGGCATCACATTGCAAAGGTGTGTCAACCAGTACAGCACTACAACATCCAGAGCCTTGATGAAATCAGGGTGGATCTCACGCACCCCTGGAGCCCTGCCGCCTTGGAGCTTTTTATCTACCTCAGCGACCTCAGCTCCAGTTATGGACGGACCAACCTCAAAGTCCTCAGACTCTGCTTCCTCTATAGAAGCCTGGGATTGAGAAGGTCTGAGAAGTATTCCTTCCACCTTCTGACAACGTCACTGGTTGAGGTCAACAGTACCCCACCTTCACCGAGCACAGTGTCAGTGAAGTGCTGCTTCCTCACCTCAGCCGCCGAATGGTTTGCCAGAATTTCCTCAGAGCTGATCGAGAGTTTTTGTCCAAGGCCTCACCAAACTACTCCCACATCTGAGCTCTTGCCTCAGCAATGGCCAGGGCTGCGGCATGCTTGGCCTGTCAATACTCCTCAACTGCCTCCGGAGTTCTACCAGTCAGCAAGTCCTGATAGGACTCCTTCTTCAGCTTGGCAGCCTCCTTTACCCATGGTGCTCACCACCGAGTTTCAGGATGGCCACCGCTAGAAGCACCGACAACCTTGCGGCCACAGCTCAAGGCAGTCACTTCAACAATTAGGGGAGTGGTGGCGCAGAGAAGAGAAGCTGAGTCTGTGATCGGAAGGTAGCCGGTTTGACTCCCTGGACCAACCAGCCCCACTTTGGAGACCCACTTTGGGCCCTTGAGCAAGGCCCTTAGTCCCTCAGTTGCTCCCGGGTGCTGTAATTGGCAGCCTACTGCTCCTCATGTACATTCACATGTGCAATGGGTAAAATGCAGAGACTTAATTTCCCCACCAGGGGATCAATACAGGGTAAAAAATAATAAAAAATGCAAAATTGAGGAGTGCAACATGGGTCACTTGGACTCAGTGTCCCCTGCCTTGGCTGGGATGTGGTTGAAGTTCTCCCGAATGTGTGAGTTAAAAAGTACTACTTTCAAAATGTAAAAAAAAGATCAAATATTTTAGATGTATTTGTATGTGAAAGATGTTTCCTATCAAATCTGGAAGAAAAGATTGAACTCTCGTTATCTTTAGGTAGGACTCATTTTGACCCAAAGGCAGCAGACATTTCAAATGATGAAATATTCAAAGATACTGAGTTTAACCTTTGATTGCAACACTTGTTAGCACCATCACATAGTGGAAAATACCAAATTGAGACACTTCAAGTTTTTTTTGCAATAAAGTTGCAAAAAAAGTGTTGCACAGTTGCTCCAATGTGTATAAATATATTAGCACACTTCATTCATTCAGCCATTAGAAGAGAGAACTTGAAGAACAAAATTTATTCAGATCATCATAAATCAGCATACTGTATTCACTATAATGAAGAGCTTCAGTGTTGCAGTTGCTGTGGCAATCGTGCTCACATTCATCTGTCTGCAGGAGTGCTCTGCTGTACCAATCACTGAGGTAACAGCTTTATCTAAACTCATATTTACTTTTTTTTTCTACTTGGTCAAAATGATAAAATGTTCTTCCTCCAATTGAATACATTGTTTGATAGGACCAGCAGCTGATTGACTCAGTGAATCCTCCTGACGCTCCAGTTGGTGAATATCCGGTGTTTCCAGCAGATTCATGGAAGGTAAGTTTAACTTGCTGCAAAGTAAGATATAATACCACGTCTAATTTGTAATATAAGATGAACAATTCTAGGTATTTTGAAGTGAAGTAAAAAGTGGGATATTTGATCCATAAAAACGGACACCTTTTCCATTTTCCACTCAGATGCCATATTACTTCAGACAGAGGAACGACCCTCGCCGGTGTCGTTTCTGCTGTAACTGCTGCCCTGGGATGAGCGGCTGCGGTGTTTGCTGCAGATTCTGAGCAGGACCACAACAACCTGGAGTTTTCAAATTTCAAATTTTATTTTATTTCTTGCTACCTTTTAAAACTAGCCATCATTCAATGGGTAGAAAAATCTGAATCTGTTGATCATGTTGCATGTTCTGTCTATTTCATTCAAACTCTTTGCTAAACATCTACAGACACTCCAGTGTACGACCATGGCTGTATTCTCTTTGATTTGCTTTAAATAAATATTTCAATGTTTAATAAATGTTGTACATCCCGTTTATTTTGCTGTGTTGATTTCCTCTCTGCTCTCCTGTTAAATTCTGCACAGCCACACCACAACATACAGATGTGAACAAGTCTGAACTCTTTTGATTAAAAGGAGCAGTATTATTTATTTATTTATTTACTGTTATTATGCCAGGCAAGTCCCATTGAGATCTCAGATCTCTTTTTCAAGGGCGGCCTGGGCCTGAAGGCAACCTATTGTACATGTTATTTATTTTCTAGGCACACAGTTCCATTCTCTACCACAATAAAGTAACTACATTGCCTACAGTTAAGAAAATGATTTATATATCAGAACTAAATTTGACTTTGCATAACAGCCTTTCTAAATGCCTTGAAATTACCCTCTTTTTTTTTAAAATGATTTTGTATTTATTTATTTTTATCTATTATTCATTCAATAAAATACCAAAAAGAAAATCGATGTACAATAAAAATCACTAATCTTAAATTAAATAAAAAGTAGCAGAAAAAAGAAAAACGTACAGGTATGTATCTGGCCTTTTTAAAAAGATAAATTTAAGAATAATGAAATACAGAAAAACATTGTCAAGCCTTTCCTGAACAACAATTCCTGTCAGCACACAATATACTGCTGTATATCATAATAAAAAAACAAATAAAAAATAGCCTTTAGCATACTTTGAAATATACAACTTGATCCTACAATTTTAACATCAATATCAAGATTACAAATACCAAAGTATTATTACTTGTGTTGAAGTACCCCACTCCTTCATACTGGTTTGAAACCTAGGTTTACAAAAATTTCCATTCACTTAAGATTGTAATTCTCTCTCTTAAAAAATTTAAAAAAATATGTTTTCATGCCTTATCCATAACAGCTAAATCAATCAAATCATAGAATTTCAATAATTTCATTAAAAAGTATTTATTTGTTGGGTAACTGTAATAATAGTAATAGTAATAATTTTTACAGCCCTAAAAATAGGTTTTGTAATTGTTTTGCATGCTTTTCCCAATATTTTAACACAATAGATTGTGTGGAATTACTGAATTATACAACATAGCTTTATCATTCAATCACTCCCTCACTTTAAACTGCAATGCAATTGATTTTGCTATTTTTATTCTTAAACCTTATATGTGGGATTTTCATGTCAGCTTTTCATGAATGAATGATTTATTTATTTGGGACAATGTGCAATTAAAACATAATTTTGATGCATTGCACCAGATTTAGCCTTAGGCTAATTATGACCCCTTCATGCGAAGCACTGTTTATTATGACCCCTGCACGTGAAGCTTAAGTGGGAGTCATACTGTTTTTGTACTGTTTATTTTTTGTTTTGTTTTTTTTTTTCCTCCGGAGATTCTTAAAATGTTTCTTAGACAATTCACACATTATGATTTCCTCAGCTGTGCGTGCACTCCGCAGGCTATGCGCTCTGCGTGTGTTTCCAACTACGTTACAACAGTATAAAAACTTTACAGTTTACAGACTGGACTGAGGTTCTTTTGATCATTTTTAGGCTGATCTATTTTCTTGTCTGAGGTTGTTTTTTTTTTTATTCGAACATGATACAATATAAAAATAAAATAGTGCACAGTAACAAGAAG